CACAAACAAGCTGTGCCCTCTCTGTCTCGCCCGACGCTAATCGCAGCTGCTCTTTCTCGAGAGCGTGGACGGACACGTAGTGCTAATACAATATTTATGCGCCTACTATTGTTTATATAATTGATAATGCATCAGTTTTTTGTATTTCAAGCTTTACTATGGAGGTTTCAGACAATTTATGGAATTATTAGAAGATGTTGCACATAGGCTTATTCAGTTTTTTCTCGTTAACTATTCTTAGTAACGTAAATTTTATTTTTGTGGAATGTGTATATCCGTTTTATGCATAAACTGTGAACTTATCTGTTAATCAAGTTTCTAGTATTTTTCATTTACACGTCTAAATCGTTGTGCACAGCTTATGACAAATTCATCAACTACTATCACTGCTAGCAGGCATGACACTCTGTCAATGTTCCCACTATACCATTAATTTATAAAATCTTGACGATGATAATATTTAAGTCTCCTTTTTCTTGTTTCTCCGATCAATATTAGACGATCTCAAACATCTAAAAACGGTCCATATGCACGCGATTATCTTCCTTCCTTGTACATTACTCCCTCGCACATGACTAACTACAGCATTACACTACCAACGTGGGATATCAGTGTTCTTAGTTGTATGTCCGGTGGGCGGACCCCCTCGGAATCCTGCAGTGGTATCATCCCTGCAAGTACATTGTATCAGTTGGAGCTCATCCCATCCGCGGGAGGGAAACCGCGCCTTCCGCGATAAAACATTCACTTACCAACGAGTATCAATGCCGTAGCGTTGCGTGCGTTGCAACAACCATCAGCCATCAATGCCAGTAGTTCCGCTCTGGGTCTCGACCTAGAGTGAGAGGCCATTAACACCGGTTAGTATATAACACCGGCGCGTATCGCCCAGTTCACTGCCCTGGAGCCTCCACATGTCGGGAAACGCCGCTCGCAGCCCACGGACGCGGCGTCTCCGATAGCCAGATTTTAAACAATGACGCCTCGTTGCGCTCATGCGCTGCCCCGGAATACGGCCCGAGGCTGGCCTCACGCACTGTGGCGCAGCGCGCGGCGCGTTCCTGACCGCGTAGCTCGACGCACGCACGCGGATATCGGCGGCCGCATATCACATATTTATTCCATACGCACGGCCGCGCGCGGAGAGCGCTGCCGGCAACGTTAGCCCGGGAGCCGTGGGGCGGAATTGAAAGTACGCGGGGAAGCACTATACAACAAAAAGTTGATGGAGATGTGGAAGTAGAAAATAAATAGCAGAGAATCGGGGCAAATAAGAGGTTTTTGTTGCAGGTATGGAGAAGTCGCTCGGAAACACGCTACACAAGCCGTGAACTAACGATATAAACTTGAGAGAAGAAGTGATAAAATCTAAGATGAAGGCGAGAATTGAAAAGCAGTGATCGTTAATGTTTAGGATGACAAATAGGCTAGAAAAATGGTCAGGGAAAAGTTAAGCTGAAAGATCGAAGCCAATGAGTAATACGCGAGAAGAATCAGCAAGTATTGTGGGGAGAGGACCCAGCGAAGCGAAGCGGAAGGAATAGCGAGCGCACAAGGAAAAGGTAGCGCGGCGGCGGACGCGGCGTTCCTGCTGGCCGTAATCAGAGACGTGAATAGCGCCAGATAACTCCCGCTGCCGCCCCCTGCCCGCCGGCGCCGGCCCCGGTATAATTAAAACACCGCGGCAGGCGAGCGTCTTATCGCCGCGCCCCGCGCAGCGCTCCGCGCCTCCACGGCCGTCGCGAGCTCCGCCGACCACTCCCTCACACCTTCCAACGCCGTCCGCCCCGCCCCCCATCCCCCGTCGCTCACGCCGGGCTTGCCCACCCTCCTCCACATTCGCCCCGCACCGTCCGCCTCGCCGCCCCGCTCGCCCCCCCGCCCGCC